AGCCTTTACTGAGTCCCAACGGCCCGTTTGCATTGTCTTTCACCTGTATCGAACAGCCACTTAAAGCGGACCACTCAAATAAAACTAAGAATGATCTCTCTGTAAAATTGAATCCATATTTAATTCCCGAAATCAATGCACGTACTATTACTGGGCGAATTCTTTTACATGGACTGGTCAATTATGGTACAAATGACTTTTTTATCGTTTCCTTATAGTAGTGAAATGTTCAGCAGGCAACCGTGGACGATACTCCTACTCTTGTACGTTGGATCAGCGATGATCTGATCGGCCCAAAGTAACGAATATGAAATATAAATATAGAGGCAAGAACGATACAACGTAGATAAGTAAAATTTAAGACGGAGCACTATATTTCGGCTGGCCAAACCAGCCTTCTTCAGGTGCAGTGGGAATTAACAGAGAATTGGGGTGATGCTTCATAGATAGCTGTATGATGTAACAGCGGAAATATGTTATGCTATCTATGAAGCATCACCCCAATTCTCTGTTAATTCCCACTGCACCTGAAGAAGGCTGGTTTGGCCAGTCGAAATATGGTGCTCCGTCTTAAAATTTACTTATCTACGTTGTATCGGTCTTGCCTCTATATTTATATTTTAATGAATAAAGACCCATCCCTTAGGCTCCATAGTGAAACACAAAAAATGGAAAGAAACTCGAACTGTACAAAGCGTATCATTTGTCTTTGTTATGGCTATACTTCAAGGTTTCAACTGTCTCCTCGAATCACTAGGGTTATAGAGATTTTCCTTCGTTTGAAAAGAACTTAGTCGTTGTCAAGACCGAACTAAAACCCATGAATGTTTTGATGAAGAAAGAGGAATATATATTTTTGATATTCTTATCCTTCCTTTTGGTAATCAAACTGAGGAAGTTAAAGCCTACACTAGTAATTCTGGAGTTGACAATTTAGACGAAACATACAATTTTAAAAGAGAATTTCGAGTGAACATGTGATGACCTTGATAGAGTTCACTTTCTTTATTTCACACAACAGCTTATGTTACAAATGTGACTTTTGTCTCTATTCATATAGATGACATAAGTAGGTTACATGGTCGGGGTGACCGTTAAGGATTCAAAAAGCCTTGAAAATGGTGGAAGAGTTGCAAAATCATGATAAAACACGACGAATTTTTTTTCACCACCCTATAAGCCAGACTTGTATGTTTGACAAGAGAGTCTATCGAAATTTTTTAATCCACAGGTCAAAAGAAATTGTTTCGGAATGGAGGAAACCCCTTAAATTTGCCTCGCTCTGTAGCTCAGTTGGTAGTAGGCTAGTAGCACCCAATTTGTATCTGGGAATCACTTCGGAGCCTAAATTTTTCCAGGCTTCTTATTCAACAACTTGTAAGTTTGCGGCTCACCTACGAAGATCATTGATTTATTGGACGAGAGCTTTCAACATCACGCGGCCGTAGAACAGTTGCGACGCTTTTCAAAACCTTTCATTGAATTCACCTGCTCTTTTAAAAATGAGGAAATGGTTTATTTCGACATATACCTGAGTGACATACTTGAAATTCTTCAGGCCGCCGAAGACCGAGACTCCGCGTAGAAAAACTCGCTCCTGACAATTCATCAAAGTATCAAAGAAATAGCAATTGCATAAGAATTCAGGGATGGGATTTATCTCGACAATATAATTTCACTTTTTTGTTACAAATGAGCAGATTTTGATGGGGATTACGATTGCACTGAGTTTTAACGGAACAGCCAAGTTAAGCCTGGGATGTTAGCCTAAGCCTCATAACGTGCACACCGGTTGATTATTTAAAATTCCTCTTATCCTTTAAGCACCGATGCGAAATCGATTGTGGATTCGCTAACTGGTTTTTTAGGTTTGAATGATTTAAATATTCTGAAGAATCTGTTTCAAAGCGAAGTATCGGGTCTCATTTATATCGGACTTTAGTTCAATACATGACAATTTTTCTTGTTCTTCGCCCGCTGAACAAAGTTACACTGATCATATCCTCAGTTTAAGGTAAAACTGCCCCTGAACTTGAAGTTCGCAGTCGAGATCGTCTTTCCGCCAAACTGACACTAGTCTTGCATTTTTGTCTAGTGTAAAGTTCCTGTTTTCCAACCATCAGCGAAGCGTGTTCTATGTTCCACGAGTCCTGTTTGCCGGGAATTGACCGCGAAGTCGTTGAAGCCTGACGCATGGTTTCTTGCCATATTTCTTGTCGATAAATCGGTGGAAGGTGAGAACGAACTTTGTTTTCCCCTGGAAGACTCTCGCTGTCTGTGTCACCAATACGAAGAGGCAGTACTTGTAATATCTCGTCCACCTTCAATTCATACCTGGCTGCAGGTGTTTCTTTGCCAGAGACGACGCTGACAATCTCGACTTCGTCGTTGAATTCAGAGCTTAGTGATCTCCTGCCATTGAAAATTTCTCCTGGTTCGAACAGCGGAAACCCCACAGAGCGTGGAACCCATTCTGAAGATCTCGAGTCGCGGCGAAAATCCCGGGGAAATTCTAACCCTTTCTCGTCTGGTTTGAAGGGAACCAGCTTTGAAACTGGAACAGAAAGAGAAACTCTTGGCTTTCTCAATCGCTCTTGCTTCCTTAATGTTTCCCCAAGGACATCTCTCGGTTTTTTTCTGGCCTTTTGCGCTGAAGCCTTAACTTCCTCTTGCTCTTCGCTGCCTTCTTCGATTTCCTCGGGCTCTTTATCGGGCAAATCGTCCAAATTTATGTTCCTTTTCTTGACCTCTTTAATTGCATCAGCGTAAAGCCGTTGCATGCGTTTGTCACTCCGAGATGTTTTTCGCTTTCCCTTTGTTTTGTTCTTGCCCATTTGTCTCCAAAAATTCCTTTTAAAAATATAACAAGTGCAAACATAAGGAAAGCTGTTAACCGCTAATAAAGCTACTAATACAAACCCAAATAATAGAACCAATATTGCTTGTAAGTATCGATTTTCAAAGCCCTACTTAAAAGTTAATAGATTTTTGTATTGATACATCAACAGATCTCAAATCTCAGGGCCTCGCAGATCATTAAACTTACCTCACACAAGAACTTAGGAGATGTCTTCGCAAAATGCGTGGAAAGCCTGCCTTAGTACAGCCAATTTTTGTTTAAATTCGTGTGTGTGTCCTCCCGTTGTAATTTCCCATAACCATCACAAAAAGAATCTATTTTTGAACTGCAGATGTTGTATATTGACATTAAAGATGAATAAAGACACGCGCATGCGCTCTGCATGACGCCTTCTTCAAGCTTTCATTTGTAACATAATAAGTTATTATGTAATTTTGTTTAAACTGACCGCAGATTTTGCATCAATAGTGATCGAGATTTCTTCAGACAAATAAGTTTCTCGTAGCTCATGTTCGGAAGATTAAAATCTTTCATGTGATATGAATGAAATAATGAGTTAAGACTTTTCCGGCTTCATTTAAAATTAGGAAAGAAAAATCTCAAAAAAAATTTGGCTGAGAAATACATCAGTGGGTGGTTCTAAATGATTGAGTCGTTAAATTAAAAAATCTGCTCTGTTTTTTAACGCATTGTTTAGCGACAAAT